TATTAAGACATATTAAAAAAAAAATATAAAAATAAAAAATATAAAATAAAATAAATAAATTAAATATTAACAAAAAAAAGGAATCAAAAAAAACTAAAAAAAAAGATCATTCGAAGTGATTGATAATTAAAATTGACGAATTTCAAACGGAAACCATATATTGAACGAAAAAACTGCCGATTATTTTACATTTAAGTAATCAGGAGCATTGAGAGTTAAATTAAATAAATTTCTAAGCTCTCATTTTGCTTTTTTGTCTATTACTGGATGTATATATTCGTTTAAAAGATCACTTCTCATACTGATATTTGGATTATCTCTTAACTCCTCTTCCTCTTTCAATCGTGCTAACTCTTCTTCCTTTAACATTTCTTCTCACTTATTTAATTCTTGTTCCCAATGTTTAGAAGTAATAAAAGTATTATTTTCATCAATATCATCAATTTCTTCAACAAGAACTTCAGAATCAGTTTCAATTGGAGAAGCATTTGAATCTAAAAATTTGACTTGATTTTGTTGTAATTCTTTTTTTCTTAATAAAAAGTTAATAAACGTCTGAAGTTGACTTATTGCTAATACTTTATCATTCTATTAAAATAAAATAAAAATAATAAATATTTGGCAAACAAACATAAACAAAAATATATCATCAAGTAAATAAAAAGATCCGCCATCAAAATAAAGAAATAAAGAATCCATCAATAAAATAATCCCGCTGTCAAATAAATTAAAAAAGTATAAATAACCCATTATTAAATAAATAAATAAAGGAATCCATAATTAAATAAAAAGAAATTAATAAACCATTATCAAATAAATTAATAAACTGCCATCAAAAAAAATTAAATAACTGTTATAATTAAATATAAAATTAATTTACCTTTAATTTATTATGACAACTGTATGTAAAAAACCTATGGAAGACTACATTCGTTTAACAGAAGCTAAATTTACACACATGCTAAAAAGTTTCAAAGCAACTGCAGCTAATTATTTATAATCCCCTTCTACATATCCCCAAAATTTAAAGGCATTATCTCCAAATTGTTCAAATGTTTCATTATTAAATGGTTCAACTTTCTGACGAAAATTCTCAAAGTCCAATAATAATCATAATGGGCGTTTTTTAAACCATGCTTTATAATAGTATATCAAATACCATCCTAGAGAAGTAAATGACAAATTATTAAGTTCAGAATTAAATAGCCAACTCGATATTTTGAATGAAATACAAAGAAAAGTAATAACAATGGTTACTCCTATTGGTTCTAACGTTTTTCTAATTGATTAATCATTTGATTTCCTAAATCTAAATTTGAAAAATGTTTCCAAAATTGCATAAAATAACCAAAAGTATGAAGCACTTCAAAAAGACGTGCTTTATTATATTGTAACTTATTTAAAACACCACAATAAGGTAATAAAATATTTTGTAAAAGTTCAATTTTTTTCCACCAATCATTATCAAGAAGTATTCGACAAAGTTCTGGATTTAGATAAAGTTCATTGGTATTTTCTGAATCAATTTGTGGACGTTCGTGACAAATTGCTAAATTCTAAAAATTAAATAAAAAAAAAATAATTATTATATTATTATATTATTATAAATAATAATTAATTGAAAAATTATATTACTTGCAAAGCTTGTTTAGATTGAATAAGACTTTTAAAGCAAAAATAATGACTGTTCCATCTTGTTTCACTGGAAATTATAATTGAATAATAATTGTTATATAGATCATTCTGAATATCTCATAATTTACTAATAAAATAACTGTTATTTGCATTTTTAAAATAAGCAGCAACTGTAATTGCTTTACTAGATGCAGTTTTTAAGGTTGATGATTCTTTAAAGATATCACAAATTGCCAATTGACATTGGTGTGCAAAATAAGAAAGAAAGACAATTTCTGAATATTCTAATTGAAGTCGTTATCTATTAATAAATTATTAAATAAATATTAATTTTAAATTAAATAATACAAATATTAATATTTATTATTTTACTTACCATATTGCAGCATAAGCTGGTGCACTATCAGATACAATTGTATTAAGTTTAATACTTAATCTTTTAATCTTTTGAATCAATTCTATTATTTTGGTATTACTTCAATTAATCGTTCTCGTTCACTACTAATATCTGAAGCATCCCATATTAAAATTTCGCCTGAAGATAATATTAATAATGATCCAAATATATGTTATTTTAAAATGTTTTTCCATCTATCAAATATTAATACTACTCCAATTTTATCATTAATCAATTTTTCATCTCTTAAAATATTTAAATTTTCAGTTTCTTTTGTTAATATACGATTAGATAAAGCTTGTCTATTTGGTAAATAAGATGTAGATTTAAAAATTCAAAAAATTCTAAGGTTGTTGGATGATCTACTCACTGAAATGGAAAACCATTTGCTACTGACATTTGTATAAATGACGATGTTGATGAAAATGATCTAAATGACTTTATTGAATCTATTTCTACTAATTAAAATTTAAAATTTTGAATTTATATTACAAAAATTTTAAATATTTTAACTTTTTTTATTATTCTTACCTGAATTATTATTTACTTTTTGCCATTTTGATTTGTTTCTTCTATTTCATTATCTGTTAAATTGATAATATCATTCAATTCTTCTTGGCTTCCAATTTTTTCTTGAAAATATGAATAGTTTTTTAAATGATTTTTGACTTGTGGTTTTTTATTTGTAAAAGTATTTTTTAAAAGCTCATCATTTTCTAGTTTTTCAACACAAGCAATACATGCTGTATAAGTGTTGCAAGAATTTTGTTTTCCTAAAACCTTTATATATTTTGTAAGACAGTGAGTTCTAAGTCTTTTCATTAGAGATGATGAAATGAAAATAAAGATTATCAAATATATGTTAACTATATATAAAATTAATGAAATTACTAATTTTGGTATTAGAAGTATTGGAAGCTTCCATTGGAAGCTTCCAATTACTATATCCAATATCCAAGAAATTTGATTGGAAGCTTCTAATATACATAAGATATTGGAAGATCTGCATATTCCAATACTTCCAATTTTTTCCAATAGAACTTCCAATTCCAATAAATTTTATTGGAAGCTTCCAATACACATCACTGGGCATGCGTATCTAAGCCACCCACGTGATTCGAAAAAAGAATACGATTATTAAGTCTATATGCGAGTATGCAATTCGCCCAATAATTATTCTAGGCAGTTACCGGAGAGATAATAGGACTCATCATTGGTGAGCTTTTTCTTTCGTATCCTCCGTCACGATAGTAATAACCTCTATCACGTTCACCATATTCATTATATCCACCGTATCCATTATATCCATTATCATCTGAATCATCTGGCCAGAATTACTATCGGAATCAGAAACATCATTACATGAATTGGAGTCGCCTTCGTGTGTATTATCTGGTCCTGAAGGGACCTCTTCATTCGCCTCATTGAAATACATCTCATCGAAATACACACCATCGTCACAGTCGTTTGCCTTAGCTTTCGTTACTACATTTGATGACGTTTGTTCTGTCTTTCTTTCTCTATCCTAGCCTCATCCTTGTATGGTGTACCCCAATTAGTTGTCTCTTCATCAGCAAAAGCTCCCGTGAGCATTTTTAGAAAATCCTCCTGAGTTGAACCCAAGGGAATCGCTTGCGTTTCCGATACACTATTCTGACCTGTTGCCTCTGAGGACACATGATTCAGATTTTTAGGTGTGGTTGATGCGTTTACCTCACTTTCAAAGATGAATTTCAGGCAAGATTTTTCCGGGACGGGCTATCTCCGAAAGTTGCCAAGAAGAAAAATTTTGATCACACATGCAATAAAGTAATGCAAACGAAAACTTTTTTTATTATTCTTCATACATGATTAAATGTTACATAGCAATTAATTACACAATAATTTACATAGCAATACGAGACTAATAAACATTAATTAAAAAGCAGAAGTATTTATATTCTTTTTTCTTTTGTTTGTTTTCTCTTTTCCCTCTTCATATAGACTAACATCCGGAACTGCATTTTTGGGTGCTTTTGGCGAAATGGTAGGGCTACGAACAAAACTATTTCGACGAGGGGACCCGTTGCGATCATTTCGATTTGAATAGTAATGATCTATACGGCACTGAATGAGAATAAAAAAATGTAATGCTGAAAAATGTGGAATATGTTTGATATTACTGAGAAAGATTACCTTAAGGAAATATGTTTCCATTATTAACTTTCGAACAAGATTGAATTCATAAAGTTTTTGAGCAATTTTAACCTCGGAAAGTTTGAAGCAACGGTAGATACCGTCATACTCCAGGTCCATTGAACAAAAATAAATGTAGGACTCTATATGTTTTATGAGGAAAGTGATTAAAGAAAACGAAGTCATAAAAAACCGTAAAAGTAAACATACCGCAAATGTGTCCCCGAAAGTCTTTGTTCCAAGTTTATTTCCATGTATGGAAATCAATTTGTTTATCCCTCCTTGACAGAAAATTCCTACCTTGTAAAGATTGTAGCCGCCTACTTTGCTTTTTCTTTTGGTGGTAAAAGGTTTTGCTTCGATAAAACAAGTTTCTTCACGTTCATTCTTTTCTACGATTCGATAAAGTGTCATATCGGATCTTTTTCCTTGCGAACGCCCATAAAATGCACGATGTTCTTTTGATGATTCACTTTGTGAGTTTGCCCTTATTAAAGAACAAGTAAAGGAACAATAAATATCTTTAAAAAAAAGTTTAAAAGAACATACATATGTTTACCTACCACACGATTTCATAGTTTGAATCTCTAAATGTTTCTTTAAAAATATCATGAATATATTCGTGCATGATGGTGTCCTCGTTATCGTCTTTGACTGAACCAGTGAGTACGTGCATTCTCTCAAAACTTAAAAGAAAAGTCAGATGTAATAGAGAAACAACAGAAAAACAAATATTAAAAAACAAATTATTATTACAATGAGCGTACAACAACTTGTACGGTTTCGAAAATGCGTCTCTCGTTGTCCGAATAGATAATTTTTGCACAATAAATTCCCCACATTTTATAAAATACTAGACGGAGTTCATCGATATCATTTATCACCTATTTTGATTGCAAAAGATGGTCAGAGATTATTGTATATCCACACATACCAATAACGACACTACCTTTTCATATTCGTTCATTATATCAAAAAAAAAGTTTGGTAGATCAGGTTGACTTCGTTGGCGGATTGATGCACGCCAACTCTGTTCATCCGTTGTTACATAATTCGGCTTTTTCATCATTGTGAGGTCAATGAGCATAATGTGATGAAGGGATCTGTAACACAAAAGATTTGTTAGACTGGCTTTAATCATTGATGAGCATTTGAACTATACTTACAATATCATCTCGACATCTGATGAGAAAAGAAAAGTCGCGCCACCTTCTAATTTTTTTATGTTAGAAATTTGAAATTTTCGAAAATCATTTGAAATGTTGCATTCTCCAATAAGCCACTACAACGGATAAAATGGATATAATGGTCAATATAGAAATCGTCTTCTGAAACAGACATGGAATAAAACAGTGAACTTACATCCTTCGAAGTTGAATGATTATAGATGTATCGTTGTATATTTAAATACTCCCGTAACATTGTTTTATTGAATATGTCTTTGTCCTGTTCAGGAACAGCTGAGAAAGGAATGGTTGAGGGCTCTATGGGAACAGCTAGGGTGAGAGATCTTTCATCACTAGATGTGATGGTTCGTATCTAATATATTTTTGTTGTGAGCTTACTGAACTACGCATTTAAACACATTTAAACAATGAGAAAATACGATTACTTTGTTTTCCGGGGTTGTTGGACGTTCGAGTTTATTGTTAATTTTTTCCGATGAAAATCGATCATTTTCTTTATTATCCTAATAAATAGAAGCCTTGTTAATGAAGTGCTCATTAAATAAGATATTTTTAGTGTATCAAACGTAAATTTCTTTTATAATAAGGAAGGTGCATAACCGATTCTTCCTACAGAATCAGTAGACCTTATTCAAGAAACTTTTCTAGGTTGTTTGTCCCCTGCGGTCTAAGGAACGAACCACTCTTGCAAAAAGCAACAAAGTGGATCGAACTGGAATCAATCTGTGTGTATGATGACATCGAAAAGAATGATCTCACAAAGGCAACCTAAAGGAAAGGGCCTCGCTACACAAGAAAATATACTTACTAGGTTTGGTCTTGAGTTTTTGTTTCTTTTGTAATTCCTTGTAGTATGGAAATTCTTTACTCTTGGCATGGTTTATTTAAGCAGACACGAATCACGTAACGCGAAAAATGGATGCTATATATATACTTGTACATAGTACAGATCTGCAAATTTCGAGCAGTATGATTGGCATCAAATTTACATCGAATGCACTTTGATGCAAATTATTAAACAGCCAATTAAATTTATGTCACACCATTTTTTTTAGAAATCTCCTCATTCATCAAAAAATTTTTTCGCGTTACGCATTTTTTTATTTTATCGTTATGGATAATATAACTAAAAATCAAAAACAACAACTTAAGAATTTGCCACCTTTACTTCCAAAATATCAGCAGGCAAATATTTTTGAAGAACGCGAAAATGTAGAATTTTCAAAATTATATAATAACGATAATATGGACATTTTCAAGAAATTATCTTCCTTCTAAAAATCCGAGTACTTTTTATTCAAGTTCTTTAATGATGCCATATCCATATATTATTTCTCAACCCTCCCAACCACCTCAACAACTACGACAACAGCAACTGCCGCAACAACTACAACAGCAGCAGCCGCCTCTACCGTCTCAACCTCTTCAACCTCTTGAAATTCATAATCAACCTAATATGAAGGTATTATTTCATGAATTATTTTACTCTCTCTCTCTCTATATATATATATTTAACACATCATTTTTTTTTATTTAAGAACAGGTTTAATAATAATAATAATAATGCTGGTTCATCAAAAACAAAATCACAAGGCAATAAAAAGAGAAAAGCATCAGTAGAAAATATTGAAGAAGAATCATCTAAATGGGACGATTATGAAATTACTTTACTTATTGCATATATTCAGGACAATGTTTCAACATGGTCTAGCAATAAAAGTAAGTTTTATGATTCAGTTTCAGCTAAAGTTCTTCCAAAATTTTCTAGTGAACAAATAAAAATAAAATAGGAGGATTAATGCGTCAATATGATAAAGTTTAGCAAAAAAATAATCAAACCGGAGCTGCAAAAATAGACTGGAAATGGTATGAACAACTGGATGAGGTTTTAGGAACGCGTGAAACAACAAGTCCAAGTTTTATATCTGATGGATCAACGATCGATATTGAATCTATGAAACAAGAAAAACAAGTTATTGAATCTAAAAACAAAAGATCTAAAACTTCAACTAACTCTAT